ATGACTATATCAAAGTAGAAAGTTTCCATATAGCAAAGGAAACAACAAAATTAAAAGCCAAAATAAAGAATGGAAGAAATATTTACAAACCGTGCACCTGAGAAGAAGTTATATACAAAATATCTAAGGAACTCACACAACCATATAGCAAATAAATAAATAAATAAATAAATAAATAAATAAATAAATAAATAATTTGACTTAAAATGGGAGAAGACCCTGAGTAGACATTTATCAAATAAAGTCATACAAATGACAATGAGATATATTAGTGAACATCACTAATTATCACAGAAATTCAAGTCAAAACCACATTGAGATATTACTTTATACATGTTAGATTGGCCATTATCAAAAGGTTTAGGGATAACAAGTCTTGGCAAGTGTATGCAGAAAAGAGAGTTCCTGTACCCTTTTGGTGGCAATTTAAATTAGAAAAAACTGTAATGGGAAGCATTACTGTGGTTCCTCAGAAAATTAAGAAGAGAACTTGCATAAGACCCCACAATACCACGTCTAGGTATGTGAGAAGGAAATTAAATCAGAATCTCAAGGAGAGATATCTACACCCCTATTTTTTATACACAATAGCCCAAACATGGAAAAACCTGTTTCCTTTGGTGGATGAATATACATGATTCCTCCATTTGTAACCACACAGAAGAACCTGGAGGACATTTGTGTTAAATAAAATGTGCTAGAATCAGAAAAACAAATACTGTATCTCACTTACATTGGGAATTTAAAATAGTCAAACTCAGAGAGGAGAATCATGGTTGCCAAGGGATGGGGTGAAGGAACAGGAGCATGTTGATCTAACAATACAATATTTCTAGGGTGTTAGAAGGAACTGCATGGGTCACTTGGGAGATCGAGAATGTCACTTTGTGTTTGTGATCATTATAGGAAATGGGAATATGCTAGAACGTGACTCCCTGGGAGGGATTAGAAGTAAAATTATTTATTTTTTAAAAGAAACAGTACAATCTAAAAATATTCCATTTTTTTTTTTAAAAGAGTATAATCTTTCAGTTTTAAGGTCAAAAATTTCTGGGGATGTAATGTACATCATCAGTGGTGATAGGTGTTAATTTGTAATCGTTATACAATGTGCGCATATATCAAATCAAATCATCACATTGTACACCTTGAATATACAGTCTGTCAATTAAGTATTTTAAAATGGTAAATAAATGAACAAAAGGACTGCCGTAAATTATTTGCCCTCACTTTCTCTGGCTCTCAAGCAAGCGTTAGTGGTTTTTTAGAAAAGTTGCAATATCGATTTCAAAAAGGAAACAGAAGCCCATTCTGATTAGTGAATTAACAGGAAAAGTATAGCAAAGGTCCACCCACTTGATTTACTACACCTTGCTCTTCATATGGCACCAGATTTTCTACCAACACAGGTTCAGTTAGAGAAAGGTTTAGGTTACAACTGTAGGGAATATAATTCCCCATTCAAGAATAGGATTTTTTCCAAACATCTCTCTCCAGAATACCAATTTTGAAGAAAATCTTTTCATCAAAGGGGATAATTAATTCCTGGGAGAGAAGGCAGCAGAAACAGAACAAGCTCCCTCAACCTTTATGGAAACCTCTTTAAATATCTATGTGGCACAAGGTGAAATGTTTTGTTATTCAAACATCCATAGCAAAATTAAGCCATGGGAAGAGTGATCCATTTCCATCTGATTCCTCCATACTGTGTTCTTCTTGCTCTGCAGGACAGGAGCCATATATAGGAACCATTCTTCATGTGTTTCAAGTAAGTCCATTTTAATTGAAATCCCAGATTTTCTGTGAAGAAGCTTTTCAGTACTAAACTAGATGGGAATATTTACACTCTTAAGAATGTTTTCATTTTTTTTTTCAGGCAACTTTACTTTGGTAATTGATATGTAAGAAAAGGAACATGTTTAATACAATTTCTTAACAGTAATTAATTTAATATTGAAATTTCTTGGWTTTTCCTTCTTTTGGTGTGTTGGAATTAAACTCAGGGTCTTGTGCATGGTAGGTGAGCAATCTTCCAACTGAAACTACATCCCTAGACCCAATTTTGATGTGTTTGAACAAGCTCTTTCTGAAGAAGTATAGCTTTAATATTGAAAATTTTTAATTCCAAGATGAGGTCAATTTGAGACGAGATTGTTTCTGAATGCCCCCAAACATCATTAGGATCTTTTAATATGACTAAGGTAAGGTTTTCAGTGGTGCTGATGCTGATTAAAGATGGTTACTTTCTATGTACAGTAATAATTACAGTTCAACACTTCAAACATAATCATAGCATCTTTTGTCCTCACCCCAATTCTTCAAAGTATAGTTGGTAAATATCATTAACCTAGTTTGCAGCTGAAAAATTTGAGGCTTACAGAGATTAAGCAATTTGTAGGACAAATTCTCTCTTGACATGAGACACCATGCTTTCTCTGAAACACATGTTTAATAATCAAGACAAATAATAAGTGTTAACTTCTGTTTTTCTAATTTTTATTGATGTATTATCATCAGACATAATACATTATAGACATATATGAACATGCATATAACATGATTTGATCAATTTCATTCCCTATTAACTCCCCCTTCCCTTTGCCTCTCACTCCAACCCCCTTCCTCAATTCTGCTAGTCTCCCTTCTATTTTCATGAGGTCCTGTTTGTCATATTTTTCTCTCCAATTTCCATGTTCAAAAGAGAACACAGGAAACCTGACAGAGTCTGGCTTATTTCATTTATCATGATGTTCTCCATTCCRTGCATTTTCCTGCAAATGATATAATTTTATTCTTCATTAGGCTGCATAAAACTCCACTGTGTACATTTACTTCTTTTTCTTTATCCACTCATCTTTTGACAGACACTTAGGCTGGTTCTACAACTTGTCCATAGTCAATTGCACCGCTATAAACATTGATATTATGTATTTCTGTCATATATTGACTTTAATTCTTTTAGATAAGTACCAAGAAGTAGTAAAGCTGGGTCAAATAATGGCTGCCTTTTTAGTCTTTTGAGGAACCTCCATACTGTTTTACATAGGGGTTGTATAAATTTATGATCCTACCAACACTGTATTAGTGTTTCTTTCCTCCCTACACCTTTACCATCGTTGTTACTTGTAGGCTTCACCATTCTAACTAGAGTGAGATGAAATCTCAATGTAGCKTTGATTTCCATTTCCATGATTGCTAAAGGTATTAAATGTTTTTTTTTCCAAATATTTGTTATGCACTTGCACTTCTCATTTGTCTATACAAATTTAAAAAAAAACAATTCAAAGTTAACACCAATAGAATGTTTTCAGTTTGGGGAAGACAAGTAAATTTAAAATGAATTAAAWATTTTAGCAATTGGTTATTCGTGACAATGGAGAAATAGATTTTGGCAAATATATGTTGAAATGACAATATAGCAGAGTTCTAGGATGAAAAACAAAAATATTATATTTAAACAAGTTTTGACTGTGTAAGAGGTGCTAGCCAGGGGAAATTTAAGATTACAGCCAATAAAGTAGTGAATTTCTTTGGAAGACTATGTATCAAGAATTGTAGAGATAATACAACATGCAGTACTAACTCTTTAGGTGTAACTGCTTAGGAATTCACACTCATGGAAATATTAGCTCTTCAGGAGAAAAGATTTATTTCCCCCCCAGTAGGATCTRGTACATGGAAGTTCCTCACAAAATATTTGTTGAACCAATATAAATGAATTCTAGTAAATTCAGTAATTAAGCAAAAAGAAGACTAGTCATAGGATTTAAAAATTTAAATATACTTCATACACACAAGACATAAATATGAATATTAAATGGCATCAAGTAGCTGATTAGTCCAAGTGCAAACATGGAGAATTCTTCCTCCTGTGGATGACATCAGTGTCTGTGGTTTCTGTGAGATCAATATTGGAAATGATTCTCCTGGAACTTATTCCATGGTTGAATATTTCCGTTTATTGCTCTACCATCAATTCTTCTTATCTCCTAGGCATAAACCTGTTCATATAAGTGAAATTCCTATGTGCATCTGCTGCTCTGTGGTGAGTGTTCATATATATGCTCTTTTGATCAATTTTCATAACAAACCATAATGTGATACTATCATTCTCATTTTATAAATGAGGAAACAAGGATGTGAGGTGCCAGGAAATAAACCACAAGTAAAAGAAGTGGAGTGGAAAACACCGTGATTCTAACCCAATGTGCTTCTGATTCTAAATCTGATGTACTCAACTACCATTGTCAATTTAAACATCTTGCCAGAGTCAGGTTCCCATGCTTTGGAGGAGTGTGAAGAAGAAAGAGCTGAGACTGAGGGAGAGACCAAGATAAAGGAGACTTTAATGCATGTGAAACTGCACTTTTCCTAATATCTGGGATATCAAAGATGTCATTACCTATGTAGGTATCAGTGTGACTGTTGATGAAATTGCTTCATAAAAATATTTCACTGATGTAGTGGTAAAGTAATTATAAATATAATGGTCGTATAAAATGGAGATTACGAATTCAAAATCACTTATTATCACACAATGGTATATGATCTAGGTTAAGAATATGGAGGAAAAAAAATTAAGAATTATCTAATCTAAGTTCCACTAAGACTTTTGTCAACTGCTTGATTTTAGATGTGTTATTAAATTTCTCTGTTTCTATTTTCTAATATGTCAAGTTAAGCATAAAATGATAGTAGTTGTTAATTGAATTTGTATTAAACATTAAATCAGCAAATGTCAGCAAAAACATTTAAAATATTCTACCTTTTAATAAGTTTAGTTCATATTATCATTATAACTATTAATGGTATAAGATTAATATGCTATTATTATAATTATCATTGTGTTAATGCCATGATCAATGTTTATTTTCATCTCAAGAAAAAACTATTGGTATTCAGTAGAATCCAAGCATTTATTATTTAACAGAATGATGAAGTGCAGTAAATTTTAAGATTGCTTTGATAACTTTTTTTCAGAAAATGTAATTAATTTTCACATGAAGTACATGGAGAATAGGAGCAACGTGACAGAGTTTATTCTACTAGGACTTACAGAGAACCCAAAGATGCAGAAAATTATATTTGCTGTATTTTTGTTCATCTACATCATCTCTGTGGTAGGAAATGTGCTCATTGTAGTTACCATTACTGCAAGCCCATTGTTGGGGTCTCCTATGTACTTTTTCTTGGCCTATCTCTCCTTTATTGATGCCTGCTATTCTTCTGTCAATACCCCTAAACTGGTCATAGATTCACTCCATGAAAAGAAGACCATCCTATTCAATGGATGTATGACTCAAATCTTTGGGGAACATTTCTTTGGAGGTGCAGAGGGCATCCTGCTTACTGTGATGGCCTATGACCGCTATGTGGCCATCTGTAAGCCTTTGCACTATACAACCATCATGAATAGAAGGGTATGCGGCCTGCTAGTAGGAATAGTGTGGGTGGGAGGCTTTCTCCATGCAACCATCCAGATCCTCTTCATCTTCCGACTACCCTTCTGTGGCCCTAATGTCATCGATCACTTTATGTGTGACCTGAACCCTTTGCTCAATCTGGCCTGCACTGATACCCGCACTCTGGGGCTCTTTGTTGCTGCCAACAGTGGATTCATCTGCCTGTTAAACTTCCTCCTGCTGCTAATCTCCTATGTGGTCATCCTGCGCTCCCTGAGGACCCACAGCCTGGAGGGTAGGCGCAAGGCCTTGTCCACCTGTGTCTCCCACATCACAGTGGTTGTCCTGTTCTTTGTTCCCTGCATATTTGTATACATGAGACCTGCAGCTAATTTACCCATTGATAAAGCAGTTGCTGTTTTCTATACAATCATAACTCCATTGTTAAATCCTTTAATTTACACCTTGAGAAATGCACAGATGAAAATTGCCATCATAAAATTATGTGGGTGGAAAGATATTGCTGATGACAAATAGATGTTCCTGGTGCTCAATACTGATTCAGCCGAGGCAAGAATCAAAAGGACGTTACAGATGCAAGAAATATTTACAGGATAAAGTAAAACATTGCCTACTTTAACTCATAGCTAAGTATTGAGGGGAACAGAAATGGGTCCAAGAAAAGAGAGAATGTCTATCCTAGGACTATTCTGCACACTTGGGAAATTCTACCAAATTTCGATTTAGTTTTACTAGTCATKCAGTGTATGGATTCATAGGCTTTTATCCTCATTAAAAAGGAAATAGCAGGGCTGAAGCTTAGTGATAGAGCACTTGCTTATCAAGCATGAGACATTRGGTTCAATCCTCAGCACCACATAAAAATAAATAAATAAAATAAAGGTATTGGGCCCATCTACAAATGAAAAAACCTTTTTAAAAAAGGAAATGGCAAATGTATTGATATTGAGCAGTGATATACAACACTCCAAAAATGTGAGCCATTTTAGGTGAGGAATTATTCCCATTTATAGGTGAGGAATCTGAAAGCAAAGGGAAGTTAACAAAATAGACATGTTAATGAACCAGCAACCAAAATGTGACCGGTTTTCGAGACCACACTCTGAACTCTGATATGACAGAATTGATGATAAAAAGTCAAATAATTCAACTCTTTACCATCAGGAAGGAGACTGAAGTGGATATATAGTATGTATTATCTCATTTTCTATTTTTAGGGCTCTTATAATTTTTCATATATACCTTTTAATGTATTGTAATGAATGGCTACCTGTTACTGAAGCATTATGATATCTACTATAAAGCCCTGCTAGCAATGGCTCTTGATCCAATAGTGAGTAGATAATGTAAATTTCATCATTTTTCTAAATGTCCATGTAAACTTCAGAATCATTCTGTGTTAACAGTGTCACGTATGCTGTGCTAACAACTCATCAGAAAGAGCAATCACTCAAATAAAAGGACATCTCCATGTCAGGCAGAAATTTCCATTTATTAATTATAAGATTATGCTCCCCAAAGTTTTTACCTGCTAGAGCAATTGTTGCCACAAGGTAGCACAATGTCTGGTGCAAGATAAAGGATGACTGAATGAATAAAAATGTTAAAGAAGATAATGAAACTCAACAAAATTTAGATCAAAAAAGAAATAGTATTGGAGACTGGAGAATCCTTTCCTGCCCTTATATGATTTGAACTACAAGGAGAATTCTAGCTAGACGCCTTGGGGGAACTATGATTTGTTTTTATTCTTCCTTAAATGAAAAATTGAAAGAAATCCTCAGCATATGTGCAAATAGTTTACTTGAAATATTCTCTGTTTTCAACAAGATGGCATTCTCCTGATTGTGAGTTTATTTTTTTAATGTTTTTTAGTTGTTGATGTACCTGTATTTTTTATTTATTTATATTTGGTGCTGAGGATTAAAACCAGTGTCTTACACATGCTAGGCAAGTGCTCTGCCACTGAGCCACAACCTCAGCCCTGTGAGCTGTTTTTTTTTTTTTTAATCAATTTACTTTGGGTCATATTTTATTATTAAAAGTTATTTGTAAAACTATGTGGCTTCATCTGTACACAAAGCACTTTCAGAATAAATGCATACCTCATATTGTCTATCCCTCATTCATTGATCAGCAAATATTTTTTAGACAAAGAAGATATCAGGCACACTGACTTTTGCAAGTTTTTGTTGAAAAAAAATTCCTCATAGTCCCATGAGGGTCCCCTTGCATTTGCCAAGTTGCTTATCAATTTTAGCTTTCAATAATCTGTCTTTATCCTTAACTTTTGACAATTTTATTATAATGTGTCTTGGTATAGGATTTATTCTATAAAGTGCCTATTGGATTTCCTGATCTTTACTTCTATTTCCTTCCCATGACTTGGGAAGTTTTCTGTTCAAAAACTACAGGTATAGAAGGAATGGATCTCAACACAATAAAGGTGATTCATGATAACCCCACAGCTACAATCATACTCAACCCTGAAGAGTAGAAAGCTTTTCCTCTAAAATCAGAAATAAGACAAGTTTGCTCACTCTTGTCTCATTTATTCAACAGAGTAATGGAGATTGTAGCTACAGCAATTAGGGAGGGGAAAAAATAAAATGCATTCAAACATCATAGGAATAAATGAAATTGTCTCTGTTGGTGAAGTGATTTTATAAAAAAACCCTAATGATTCCACTGAAAATCTGATAAAATTGATAAACTTGGTAAAGTTTTGGGTTTCAGTACAAATTCAGTAACATTGTAGTATAAAATCAATATATAAAAATTGTAACATTTCTGTACATTAATAATAAACTATCCCAAAATGAAATTAAGAAAATGATCCCATTTATAATAACAAAAAATAGTTAGAAGTAAATTTGCTCAGGAAAGCAAAAGAAAGAAATATTTGTATATCAAAAACTATAAAACATTAATAGAAAAATTTAAAAAGACAAAAATAAATGGAATGATTTGTCAGAATGAATATTGTTAAATGTCTCTACTAAGCAAAATACATAGACAATCTATAAATTCAACACAATTCCTTTCAAAATTCCAGTATCTTTTTTCACATAATTATAAAAACAATCCTAAAATTTGTATGGAAACATAAAAGATCACAAGTAGCCAAATAAATCTTGAGGGAAAAGAACAAAGATAAAGGTATCATATTCTCAAATTTCAAGATGCATCATGAATTTATAGTAATCACAACAGCATAAAAACTGGCAATAAAACAGACACACAAAAAATGGAATAGGATTTAAAGCCCAAAGTAAACCCAAGAATATATGGTCAATTGATTTTTGACAAAGGTGCCAAGAACACAATGGTTAAAGGTCAGTCTCCTCAATAAATGCTACTGGTAAAACTGGACATCCACAGGCAGAAAGAATGAAGTGGATTTTTGTTTCACACCATATGCAAAAATCAATTCAAAATAGATAAAAGTTTTAATTTTAAGACTGAAAACTATAAGCCTACTAGAAAACATAGAGGGAAATACTCCTTGGCATTGGTCTGGGCAGTAACTTCTTAGATCTGTCTCCACAACCACAGGCAACAAAAACAAAACTAGACAAATGAACTGAATCAAACTATAAAGCTTATGCACAGGAAAGAATTCAATTAACCAAATGAAAAAACTACCTATAGAATGGAGGAAAATATTTGCAAACACCCATGTAATATCCAAAACATATAAGAAACTCAAACAACTCAATAGCTAAAAACAATCCCAATTTAAAATGGACGCAAGACCTGAATAAAAATGTTTTCAATACAATGGGTACAAGTAGTTAATGGGCATATGGAAAAAAATGCTCAAAATCACTAATTATTAGTGAAATGCAAATTATAGCCACAATGAGATATCACCTCAACGTGTTAGAATGACTGTTATCAAAAAGACSAAGAATAATCTGTTTCTGCAAGGATATGGCATCAAAAGAACCCTTGAACACTGTTGGGGAGTATGCAAATTAGCACAGTCATTATGGAAAACAGTGTGGATTCTTCAAGAAATTAAAAGTACAAGTACCATCTGATCTAGCAATCCTACTCCAAAGGATATGAAAGCAATATTTAAATGTGATATCTGCTCCTGTGCTTTTCTTTTTATTTTTGGCAACACTATTCACAATAGTCAAAATATGGAATCAACTTAAGAATCCATTGATGGATGATGAGTGGATAAAGAAAATGTGTGTGTGTGTGTGTGTGTGTGTGTGTGTGTGTGTGTGGGAGAGAGAGAGAGAGAGAGAGAGAGAGAGAGAGAGAGAGAGAGAGAGAGAGAAATACTATTTAGTCTTTAAAGAAGAAGGAAACTGTCATTTCCAACAACATAGATGAATCTGGATGACATTATCCTAAGGGGAGTAAGCCAGGAACTGTAAAACACATACTACATGCTCTCACTTATCTGCAGGAACTAAAAAATGTTGAACCCATAGGACAGCAAGGTCATTGACAGGAGTTGAGGGATGAAGGTAACAGGAAGATGTTTATCCAAAGGTACAAAGTTTCAGTTAGACAAGAGGAATAATTTTTGGAGCTTCACTGTATGGTGACTTTAATATTAATGCATGTGCTTGAAATCTGCTAGGAGAATAGATCTCAAAGCTTCTTGCCAAAGACGGTAACAATGTGAGTTGACATGGTAGTCATTTCACAATGTATGTGTATATCAAAGAATGACATTATATATCTTAAATGTACAATTTTTATCTGTCCCTTTTACCTCAATAAAACTAAAGACAACAAGATAATTTGTATGATATAAGTATTTTATAATATGTCCTTATTATTATAAAGTTACTGATTCTGTGACTATTATCTTCATAAATCCAAACTGTGAAAATCATAGTTGAACGTATCTATGACAGTTCCTGGCAGTAACCAACACTAAGACAAAGTACATAAACTTGTTGGAATAAACTGGAGGTGGAAACCTGGTGATTTGAGAAGTATGGGTGTCAGGATACAAAGGGGTATGGACAGTGAAATATCCCTGATTACAGGGCATTTTTTCCCATGAGAATTAAAATTATCCTGTAATACTATATGGAAAAGAGGTTTAAAAACATGAATAATGAAGTGCAATGTGTATGTGGATCATCATTTATTAAGGCTATTTACCTAATGAAAATATCTGGGACCACTGGTATATACTCAATGAAGAACTCATGTAAAGTTCATAAAAAGTTTTGATAGGGCTGGGGATGTGGCTCAAGCAGTAACGCACTCGCCTGGCATGCGTGGGGTCCTGGGTTCAATCCTCAGCACCACATAAAATAAAATAAAGATGTTGTGTCCACCAAAAACTGAAAAATAAATATTAAAAATCCTCTCTCTCTCTCTCTCTCTCTCTCTCTCTCTCTCTCTCCTCTTTCTCTCTTTTAAAAAAAAGTTTTGATAGACATTACCAGGTTCATTGACCTCCTTTTGGTCTAAACTGTTTGGGTATCTGTGTCAATCTCCTACAACTTTAGAATGACTTGGAAGATACTTTAGAGCTGTAGTGCAGCAATTACTTCAGGCTCCATTTTTTTTTACACATTCCTCAAAAATTTCTTGGGTATGTTGATGTTGGATATCTTTCTTGTTGACTTACATATGATCTTCACCTTCCTAACAGTTTGAACACTCATTCATCTTTGGATATCAATCCTAGCTTTGTCCTGGTTGCTACTTCATATTTTTCATAGCTCTGATTTCCACAGTTCCTATTCCACTGCCAAAGTCYAACACCTAGAGATTCGTCAACATTTTTTATAAAGAAGCAAAGACTAGATCATTCATACTTGRACAAGTGCTACACTTACTGAACCTGAAATCCAGTTAAAAGTTTAAATAATAGTAATTCAATCTGTTCTAYGAAACTACCTCACATAATTGTTCATCTTCTTTCTATATACCTTCAATGGAAGGATTAATAAAATAACAGTGWACAYTAGTAATAAAATTAGATGAAATTACCACAAATTAGGTTATACAGAATCTTTCAATGAATGAGGCTTCTTTGGTTCATGCATAGCTACCTTATCCCAGGTAAGAAATGTGATTTTTACTTAAAGCTATATAAAATGAGTAGAAAGTATGTAGGATAAAAATTTACATCTGTTTGTATATTATTTCTTCCACTAACATGAAGTGTGGTCAAGTCTTGCCATGTTGAACTTTAATATCCTAGAAAACATGTTATAAGAATCAAAGATAAATTTAGCGCCTCTCAGGTCCAAATACATCTTTCATTGCCTGCCCCATATTAAGGTAAAATGGCTCTGTAAGCACTTCATTCCCTGATCTGCTGCGGTATTAGTATTTGGTAAGTATAGYACCATGAAACAGGCATCTCTTCCTAATTTAAATATGTTTCTGTTTTCATCTTGTACTGACTATGTGGCCTCCAACAGTGTGTCAATGTTTGTGTGTCAGGGGAGCTATCCAATGGCTCTCGTTTTCCCTGGGTTTCCCTGACATCTTCATGGACAATTTCCCATTGTGTTTTAGTGGCATCTCTGCAGGCAGATTCCAGTGATTCTCATAGGCACCAACCAATCACTCTCCCAACTCAGCCTATGCTCACTGTAGTAGGATGTTTTCTTCCAGGCTTGATCCAGCTGCACCCAACCTGCTTGCCAATCCAGACCACAGTTCCTTGTCTACCAGCCCCAGCTTCCCCATCACCCCAGTAGGAGGCTCACAAATTACCAATACCAGACAAGTTTCTTGTGTACTAGTTTCTATTCAGATACTGTGAACTAGTTCTGGCACCAATAAACACAGTGGACTTCTCTACCATTCATTGGATAACGGATATACCATTCCAAAGTATGGAAGCACAGCCTTCCTTTGAGGGTTGGGGAGAAACCAACCCTCAAAATTTGAATACATCCTAGACCTTCATCTTTCAGCCTTAAGGTGTTCTTATTCCTTTATCATTAATCCTATGATATAATTAATAAATTTATGTAAACTTTCCCTTTTCAAATCAGAAAGCTGTGTGATCTGTCTCCTGATTGGACCCCAGCTGATACAATATAGATGACAATGCCAGATTTTTAGAAATTAAATAAATAGCATCTCTTTTTACTATACACTCAATGTTTAATGAACAACRAAATGCACAAAAATGAAGCTATGTGGAGGCCAGAGTCCAAAGTAAAAGACTATCATAATACATGTATCTTCCATTATCAGTAGAAACCAACATCTCAATGTTGATAAGCTAGTTTTAATATCAGTCCAAATATTCTAGATCCATARTTTAGCTTCTAGAGGCATTTCAGGTTTTCAGTTCATTTATGAATATTTGTTGATTCAGAAAAAACTTATGCTGGCAAAAGTATGGGATGGGGAACAATAAGTCTGGATTACAACCCAGGCTTTAAACTTATGCTTGAGTAACCATCTASAAGTTTGATCAAACTCCTTGTTAGAGCTAAAATCTTTATCTGAGGATCCGGGAACTCGGATTCAGTTCCATCTGATACCTCTGTATGTAATGTTCAGCGATTCTGTTTAATTGTTACCTGAAGTCACTTTTTTTCTCCAGAGCTTCCTGATTGCATTTTTTACCTCAGCATTTCTGAGGGTGTAGATTAAAGGGTTTAACATAGGGGCTACCATCGTATAAAAGATGGCAACAGYTTTATCCATTGGCAGAGTGGTCACGGGGCGCAGATAGACAAATATGCAGGGCACGAAGAATAAGAGGACTACTGTGATGTGCGACACACAGGTGGAGAGAGCTTTACGCCTCCCTTCCAAACTATGGTTCTTTAGGGAACGCAAGATGATCACATAGGATACCATCAAGAGGAGAAAGTTAAACAGGCAGATGAACCCACTGTTGGCAGCAACAAAGAGACCGAGGGTGTGAGTGTCCATGCAGACAAGTTTCAGCAAAGGGTACAAGTCACACATAAAGTGATCAATGGTGTTGGGACCACAGAAGGGCAGCCAGACGGTRAAGAGGATTTGGATGGTTGCATGGAGAAATCCCCCGGTCCAGGCCACTCCCACCAGGAGAAGGCATAGTTTGTGGCTCATGATGGTTGTGTAGTGCAGAGGCTTGCAGATGGCCACATAGCGGTCATAGGCCATCACTGTGAGCAGGATGATCTCAGTAGCACCAAAAATGTGTTCTGCGTAGACTTGAGCCATACATCCATTAAAAGAGATGACTTTTTTCTCTTGAAGGGAGTCCATGATCAGCTTAGGAGCTGAAGAAGAAGAATAAATTGTGTCTATAAAGGACAGGTGGCTCAGGAAGAAGTACATGGGGGAGCTTAGAGCCTGGCTGCTGATAATGGTAACCACAATCAGCAGGTTGCCTGAGAGTGTTGTCATGTACAGAACCAAAAATATCACAAATACTACCTTCTGTATTTTGGGGTTCTGTGTTAGACCTATTAAAATGAATTCAGTCACATTCCTTTTATTCTCCATCTAAGTGGCCTAGGTGATGAAAACTCCAGGAAGGAATATTTTACCTTTAGAAAAAGGGAAAAAAAGAACCATGAAAAAATAATAGTTCAAAATTCTGTCTTTTCAGTACTCAGCCATTTCACAAAACTCTAGGAATCAGAACTTCAAAAACTCTTTAGATAACTCTTTCAGTCTTTTTTTTTCCTGACTTAAAAAATATTCTTATAAGATATATAACATCCAGAACAAAGGGATTTCATTTCCTAGGATCAGGGGAGTAATTATAAAACTTCACTCAAGCATCATTATGATGGAATAAGGTAGTTACTAGAAATAATCATATTAACTTAACAAGATTTTAAAATGTACACATAAAATAATGTGAATCAAAACCAGAGAATAGTCTATATGCCCTAATTATAAATATGTAAACACATTACAGGTTAAAAGTTAGTGATATTAGTTATGGAATTAGTATTTGAAGAYTGTAGGTTTTGTGTGTGTATTTTAAGAATAAAATTCAAAGTTTTCACCTAGATTTTTATGTAAGTTCTGTTTCACCTATGCTCAACATAGATGTATAAGTTTCCTTTGCCTTACATCTCTGCCAACATATTTTTTACTTTATTTTTATTAGTGTTATATAATTATACATTATTATATGAATGGAACTGGAGGCTTTTAAGTGAAAAAAGCAAGGTAAATAAAGTCAAATACCAAATTTTACCTCTCCTATGTGGAAGTAAAAAAAAAAGTGATCTGATTGCAGAACAGGGAGGGAGTACTAGAGGCTGAGATTATGGGAAGGGAGGCCAAAGGGAGGTTGGATAACGGGTAACAAAATGCAGCTAGAGAGAAGGAATGAATTCTGATGTTTCACAGCACAGTACAGAGACTAGAGTTCATGATAACCTGCTGCATATTTTATAAGTACCCAGACTGGAGAAGCTTAAAGATGCCAAATATAAAGAAGGGAAACAGAAATATACCCAATGCTTAATGTATGCATGTGTTGAAATATCACATTATACTCCCTTAATATGTGTAATTATAACATATTAATAAAAATGAAATAAAATTCTCCAACATTATGCTGTCATTAAATATATGTATAGAAAAAAAGTGATAAGTCAATTAATATATTTAGGACATTTACTTCAGGTGTGAGATTACAGCTGACCTTTTCCTATTTTTAACATTTTCCAAATTTCTACAGTTTGCATTATTAGTTTTATAATCAGAAAATAAATAAAATTTTCATATTTTTCCCCTGGAGGCCTGTACTTGAGGGCATGCATTTTTAAACTGAGTAGAATGTATGAAATAACAAACAGCAGCAATTGTAAATTTGCCCATCATAGGAATACAGAAAATATTATTTGAATATAATTAAAGTAATACATTAATTACTTTAGATGCTCATGAAATTGTTGTCACCAATTCACCAAATGGACATAGGATGAGGGCCTGAATGGGGGCACTGACCACTCAAAGAAAGTTCAGAAAAAAAGATGAGTCTGCCCCTGTGAGACACTTAGAATTGTTATAAATACCATTTTTAGTCTACCAGCTGGACTATTGAACTCTGGTTCTAAATTACACAATTAGTCAATAATTTATGTGGGTAGTCAATAAGTCTAATTTGAATAATCAACCAAAATCTATTTAATGCAATGTCTATGTTAATTTCTTGATGTGGAATGCCAATGTCACTCAAACTTTGAGATAGTATTTAAAGATAACTTTTGCCATTATTAATTCTCACTTTTTCCTGGACCTCTGATTCCTTTTCTTTTTTCCCTTTTATCTTAATGTATTCTAAAAACACCAAGRTTGTGAAGGGCAAGGTGAATTGTCCCCACTACATGTGGGCAGGATATATAACTAATGAAGTACATGGAAAGGTAACCTGTTTCACATGATCCCACAAATGCTTCATTAAGGAGCTGGCCTTGGAGAGCCAAGCCCAGGACGGCAGCTTCCCTTCTGGATAGTCCAATGTACCAGAGAATCCTTCCAGGGCCCAAGAGCCCCTGAGAATACAACCAAGTGAACGCCTAATTGCCAACTCTCCTCTAGAGGASACAGCCCTTGGGAGAACCAAAGGCTGAATAGAACATTTCTTTCTTTCTTTTTTTTTCTTCTTAATACCAGAGATTGAACTCAGGGAGCACTTGGTCACTGAGCCTCATCCCCAGCCCTATTTTGTATTTATTTAGACACAGGGACTCACTGAGTTGCTTAGTGCCTTGCCACTGCTGAGGCTGGCTTTTGCACTCAATCCTCCTGTCTCAGCCTCCGTAGCCATTGGGATTGCAGTTTCTATAACTTCCTGGATGTCTGTGCCAAAGGTCAGATTTCATAGTCAAAAACAGACAGAAAACCCTAAACTTGACTTTTTCATCTTCATAATTTACTTATTCATTCAGTGTCTTATAAACCTTGAAATAGTCTGAATATTTTGAAGAACATTCTCTTTTACAAATTTCATCTTCCTCCTCCTTCACATCCCACAGAACAGACACATATATGCAAACCAGGTAACTCAGTTTTATGTTAAAATTGATGTTCTTGGTGTTAATTGGCATGTTCAGATTTTTTTTCTTGTCTACTCCCAAAACCAGTAGTGTACCCATTAAAGCTAAATCTTCTAATACCAAACCTCAACTTCCATAAAATGGTTCCTAGACTGTATTTGACAGACAAGAACCTAAGTAGACAAACTTCTTCCCAGAGAAAACTTTGCTACTTATTTAAATTCCACATACTCAAATATTATGAAATGAAAACTTTCACTGTAACTCTATTTATCCCTTTTTAATGGCATGCAGAGAACTATTTTTCAGCCACATGTTTCCTATTTGAGAATTTTTATTGTCGGTCATTTTCTTAGCATGATACTTAATGATTTATATGTACTTTTTTTTTAACCTAGTCCTCAGGACAATGATTTGAGATTGGTACACAAGAAAGGGAAACTAGTTAGAAAAAGGTAAATGACTTGCCCAAAGCCATCCTGATTGAAACCATAGGAGCTGTATTCAAATACAGACTGTCTGTTAATATCTTTAGCACCCCACTCAGTGCCTCTAACAGATCCAGTTTACCTCTAGAGATCAGCTGTGCCAGAGTTTGCACTAGAAGCTAAAGCCACCAYCTGTAATCACAGGGAATCCATGCAGTCATTTTGCTAAGCTATGAAATGTAGTGTCAGATGTTAATTTGYTCAAGTTTCCACTGGACAAGCCTCTAGAATTGTTTTAACTCAGAAGTCCTCAATCTTGCATTTGATCAAATTAATCATGTTTTAAGGGTGAAAAAACTGATACCAGGCAGGCCAAGTCCTAGGAAAATAGTTGATAGATTAGTGGCAGAGGACAAGAACCCAAGTCTACTAATGCCTAACACAGTCACATTTTTTCCACCTCCATATCTTGCCTTCCATAGGATGCCATGAGATGAGTATATACAAGGAAAAATCACCCTAAGACAACAGAGAATTAACTTTCAATTAATATTTATCAATACCTGTATTAACTCTCTAAGAAAGAGGGCTGGACCTGAGCTCAAGGATGCAGAAATTGATTCAGGTCCACTGAAGCAAAACAAGCTCCTGCTGAGTTAGAACATTATCTGAGAAAATCTGATAAAGTCATAATTAAAAGTGTCTCTGGGTTGGATTTTAATCAGATTTCCAATCACAGCACAAGGTACACCGTTTCCTGGCAGAGTCTCTTTTTTAATACATTTGCCTTTTGGATCTCAGTTTTGGAGTTAAGGGATTCCTTTGAAAAACAGGATTCAGATGCTGTGCCTCTTTCTCCCATGCGAATCTGTCTTGACTAGAACGAAGGTCACATCCCCTACCTCAGCTCTACCATCAATTTACCTTTTTTTTTTTTTTTCCTGAGCTGTATCTCATCATATCTCCCCTGAAAAACACCAGGTGAGGTTTTCCCTCTGTTTCATCCCTGGGAAGGTCAGAGCATTGTTTCAAGGAAACTAGTGACTGACGGTACATAAACCAATCTGACTATTCAAACCACCATCTCTATGCCTTACCCCTGGAGGAAACCCCCAGCCACCCAGCCAGCCACCCCATTATCTCCACACTCAAAAGCCTAGAAATTAACTTCAGATTCTATAAATTATAAACTGATAAATTGTAGATTATACAGATCTAGTTTATGAGAATAAATACTTCTGCAAAATATCCTAAAACGTATAACAGTGATCTCTCATCACATATCAGAAAGTAATGCCTCAATGATTTTAATTATGAACACCTTGGAGGCAAATGGAAATACAAGGAACCAGATTAAAAATCAATGATTCTAGGTAACTTACTKCGATTGCCTCTGTAGTTGAGAAGAATGCCCAATATATTCAGAAACACAAAGTAATCGTTATATGTAGCTATCAAAACAGTATTTTTTGTCATGTATATTTTCCAAATCCATATCCACTAGACAATACTACTGGAAGCAGAAAATATCAAGATGGCACAAATTTCTTCAAATGGATTCTGCAAGTATCCTCAAAGCTCCAGTACCTTTGGAACTCATGTTAAAAAGAGAGAAGAAGGAAGGAAGGAAGGAAAGAAAGGAGGAAAGGAGGAAGGATGGAAATAAAGAAGGAAGGATGGGAGAGGAAACTTTAAGTCCTTGGATGCTGAAGTGCGTCGTCTTCTCCTGCACCTAGATCTATAGTTACAGAATAAAGGCATGAACATTGGTATCGATTATTCCACCCTTGAGATAAGAAAATGACTTCTCTGGAATTAGAGTGTGCAGGGAAGGAAGGTCCTGAGAAGTTTATAAGTGATGCATCCTTCTAACTAAGGCTTCACCCTCCCAGGAATTAATTATCTCTGTTTTTCAAATATTCTACCTTAGAAACATATATTTAGGAGTATTTATCTATAAATARCACATCTTTGCCTGATTAGAGATTTCCCTGCAGTTTAATCTGCTACCAGCCTGCGTTTCTGGTCTGGAATATTGTGTGATAAAACACTTCTCCACAAGCCCTGGAGTATCATAAACTGGG